TGTACAAACAACCACTTCCTTTGGGACAAAAAGGAGGTTGGTTGTCTATCACAAGAGTTGCTTAAATCATGGCCCTGAGGGAAATCAAAGGGAGTTGAGCAAGAGCGGCTAAAACCGCCTCTCAACTGAAGTAACATTACCCCCGACAGGGTTCACCATTTTGAGGAACTCCCATGGTTTCAACAAGGGGTATTGCCTCAACTGGATTTGACTTTGCAGGAGTGCCGTGCCGTGTGAGCGCAGCATCGTTTCACGAATAGTTTTTATAGCGACGCAACACGACCCCGGTTGGCTGCAGGTCAACCATTAGGGTTGCTCCAAGAGTTTGGAACTAGGACCCATGTTGGACCGCCAAGCGTCCCGTTATTCGGTGAATTGTGTTATGGACTCTCTTTTCTGGGCTCTTAAACATTATTTTGGTTTTGGGGTAGACAAACATGGAGCAGAATTTGGACAAATGTTGATTTTGGCCTACCCCAGTGCCAAGTTGGAGCAACGTCCAGAGCCAACATCCGCACGACCAATCGCCGATGTGTTGCGGGTCCAGCCGACGCGGGTGCTTCGCCAGCTCCCACGGTTTTCGCAAGTTTGGGACGAGCGCTTTGCGGGAGTCAGTGGGCCTTGTGGGACTTTGCTTTGTGAGTTGTGCCCCTTGTCACCTTGGCGTAATTTAAGTCACCTTGGGAAACCAAAGTAAAGTCACAACTTTTGCGGCTTCTTGACAAATACACATGTACATTTGAGTACTATGTCGCAACATTTTGCCCCTCTTGTGTTTGGAGCTGACTCCAAAACGACACGTCGGACATGTCCGAAACCAAGGCTGCGTTTGCCAGCCCACTGTTTCTTTTTCCGCTTTCAGGGAGGTGGGTTTGAGTATCAGCAAGGCTGGCGAGGTCATGACCTAAGAACGGGTGCGTGCAATGACCTCTCGGTTGTATCACATCCTAGGATGAGCTCTCCACTGGGAGTGTTGTTTCCTTTTGGGTGAGTGACCCAAGACCATTCTTGCGTTGGCCCATGATTGATCGATTTCCCGAGTTATATTCCGAAAGCACATGGTTATGAACTTTCATGGGGAAGACGACCCTCCCAAATGATCCATGGACAGAAATCCCCACCTAACAAGTGTCCACCGAACGACTATCCACATGTTCGAATGTGCAAATCTTGAGTTTGACTTCGACTGCCCGTCAATCAGCTATAAGCCTGGCCCCGCAAGCACCTTGTCCCCAGTGTGGCTCGCTTTTCGCTTCAGCAATTGTGGCACCTGCAAGAAGCAGGCGCTGAGCAAACCACTGCGTTGCTCGAGTGAAAGGACTTCGACCAGGGTGCGGTTTCTTGATCATATACTCCAACTGGGTTCTGCAAATCAAGTCTTTATTCCAGATGCTCATGGTTCCCCTGCAGTGGTCCACGTCGGATTGCAGATGGGGAGTAGCGAGCTTTCCCCTTCGAAGGATTTGGTCCAATGTAGACTGCAACCCGGCGGTTGATGTAGGGAAGAGCCAACCTGGGTTTAATCCTGTGACACTATCCAAAGGACGTAGATGACTTTCAAATAAGTGGGCTTCGGCCCCAACCGTTTAATCCTACCGGACTATCCAAAGGACGTAGATCAAATAAGGGGCCGGGCCAGGGCTTCGGGGCTGGGAGGTAGTGTAAGACATTTGCTTGAATCACATATTTAAAGTGGCTGGCCGGGCCACCCTCATGGGGCCTGGAGGTATGAAATATTAGTTCGGATGTTTGCAAGTTTGAGACAGACCACTTCCCCGTGAGCACAGGACGTATTCCCAGATTCAGCCAGATTCAGCCAGACTCCGCTTCTGCCAGGTTCGGCCAGATTCAGCCACGTTCAACCAGATTGAGCCAGATTCACCCAGATTCGGCTAGATCGGCCAGGCCAGCTTCAGCCAGATTCAGCCAGATTCAACCAGATTCCGCCAGATTCAACCAGATTGGCCAGATTGGCCGGGCCAGCTTCAACCAGATTCAGCCAGCCAGATCAGCCAGATTCGGCCAGCTTCAGCCAGATTCAGCCAGCTTGATTCGGCCAGATCACTCAGATTCAGTCACACCACATTCAGCCAGATTCAGCCAAATTCAAGATTCCAGCCGTTTTTTCCGCCAGACCTAAGCCAGCCAGATTCAGCCAGGTCCAGAGGCAGCCTGTTGAAATCGGGTATTTGGATTGGTCGGCCGGGCCGACGGTATCGTCCGGATGCCAGCGTTTCATTGATTGAGCAAGCAGAAGGTGATAGGAACCTAGATTTGATAACCCCTGGATGATTCATAGGGTCCCATGTTGGAAGGTATCCTGGACTTCTTCGTGAAGCACCTCCACCAGGTTGATTCTTCCGGTGATGCCCTCAATGTTGCAAATAGTCTAAGCACAAGCGATTTTGGATTGGAAGGTTTCCCTCATTCGCTGCAGATCATACCGCTGGGGACTGGGTTGAGCGGAGGACACTGACGGATTTGGTCAGCTCCGATGAGCACCTAAAGAGGTGGAGGACCTAAAAGAGGTGGATTGCATTTTGGCACCTGGCTAGCCAGCTTTCGCATGCAGTCTGCCTAATTTGTGGTCGCATGGGGGTTTTGGCTTGGCCAAAGGGCTGGGCCTTGCAACCCTCCCTTGGGAAGACCATATCATAGCCTAGGAGCCTAAGAGCCTTGTAAGGGCGTTTGACCCGCCCAAGGACCTCAAAATACCGTGGATGACAAAATCCTGCAGTTGGGATTGGTGGTTGTATTCATGGAATCTCATCTCAGGACTTGTCCAGCCATTATCTTTTTTTCTCCACTGGTTAGGTAACCCTTAGTTAGTGGTTTGGTGGTTTGGGATTTGAACCTCTGGTTCTTGTGAGAGTAAATGGGAATCCTCTCTTCCACCACCAAACTACCGGGGTGAAGGACTACGGCTCTGAGCTAAGCCGCTGAGCTTTTGGCTGCAGGTTGCGCCCTGAGACGACCAAAGCGACACCCAGCTTGTCCATTTCTCGCGGGGTTTCGAAGCCACCACGCCGTTGTCGTCGTTCAACTCTTGTATTGCTAGCTTTAGCGACCGGGTCCCATCTTTGAGAAGCCTCAAAGTGGAACCGAATTTAAGCCCTCTTTCAAGGAAAGACCCGTTGGAAGGGCAAGGCTGTAGAAGGCATAGGGGTCATTCCCATTCCCTGCGTAGGCTTTCTTACTGTAGATGGTGCGAGCCGTTCTGATCTGCAACGCGGAGTCGAATACCCCCAGTTCAACTGCGCGAGTTTGAGCAGCGACTCACCTAACTCCCATGCAACAGCATTCTAAGAAGGGGATGAGTTTGGACACGGCTGAGAAGGCCAGCCGCCATTGGCATAATGTTTGAGCAACCAAGTTATAACTTGTGTTACCACTGTCTTATTTGAATGTCCCTGAGGCGCCTGGGATTGAGAACGTAGCCCTGTAGCTACCGGAAGAGTAACATGATAGCCTTTACCAGGTCTTCACAGCTTCACAGCTCTTGCTTCGCGTTGCGCAATGCTTCGGCTGCTGCTGCTCCTCGTGGGATCCGGATTTGCCTTTGCGGCGCCGAAATGGTGGGAGGCTGGAAGATGGCAAAAAGCAGAATTGTTTCAGGATGTGTCAAGGTGAAAGCCTTCAGACAATCTGAAAGCCTACCTGACCCCTCAAACTGCACAAAACGACTGGAAATCACTCAAAATGTTGGGCAAGAGTTTAACCTAGTCCATGCGTTGTGCCCAGGACCTGTTGGTCTTCAGGGTTTAAGCTTCAGGTTTAGGGTTTTAGGTTCAAGGGTGTAGATTTAGAGTTGTTATGGCTTTGGTGTTGCCCAAATCACACCAACTCATTGGCCCTCGTCAGTAATTAGGGTTTAGGGCTTCAGGGTTTCAGGGCTTTAGGGTGTTTGGGGTTTAGGGTTTCAGGGTTAGGGGTTTTTGGGCTTAGGTTTAGGTTTGGGTTTTTCGGGGTTTAGGTTTACGGGTTTAGGGTTTACTTTCCGTAACCGAGTTTGCAAGTTGGGCTGCCGGGACCCTAGTCGGAGCTTAGCCGTCCATTACAGTCCCAAAACACTGGCCCTGCGCAGTAATTTGCATTTAAGGCCAACCCGTCCCGAGCGTTGGGACAGATCACGCAGATTCGCCCAATAGTTTGAGGGTTCTTGTGCTAGCCGGTGTCTTTGTCCATTCTATGCAACTTTCGAATGTGATTTGACTGTGGGACACCCTCCCAAATGGTTGGTGGACACAAAGCCCCATGATGTCCACAAAGGCTCCATTTCCGCTGGGAAGTTATTCCTTAAGGGAACCAGTCGCTCCCACTGGGACACGAGAGTGTTCTAAAAAGAAGGACCTTCCAACCCACAAGACCCTCAAATTCCATATCCAGATGGCTGGGGAACCCCTCAAACATATTCGGTTGACATAAATCCCCCAATGATGTTCACAGAATCTCCATGTAAAGTTCATCAGATGACAGTCAGGTTTCCTCAGAGGAGAACGCCAAGTCTCTGGCCCTCTACTTCGACAGAGAGGCAGGGTATCTGACGCGCTTACGCTGCAGCCACTGCACGGATGTCACCCCAGGGCCAAGTTGGGTCTTTTGTTGTGGCAACCGCGTCAAGGGTTCAATATCAATCCGCAAGATCCTTATGGTAGTGGTTGCCCTTGAGCAGTGAATGGGGCGTTTGCACCAGGTGTCTCTGCAAACCCCCGCCCCCTCCCCCCAGCCTAGGAGGAAACCAGGGACGTGGGCAGCTTCTCGGGAGGCAAAGGGCCCAATAAGAATCCAGCCACATGCAAGCTTGTCCATTTTGGTCCCGCAAACGGCAACTGCCGTGCAATTTTGACATGACATCCCAAACATGGGTTCACTACAAGGGTTCTCTACAAATGACAGCCAACCTTTGCAGAGCTCGAAACAGGCGCCGGATTGGGAACACATCCCCTCAACCTGGGTCCATTAAAGTGACATCCTCGACATTATGTGCAGATTTAAGGGAAACCACCTCTTCAACATGATCACTTTAAGGGATCCGCTAAACCAAAGATTTGACAACACGCCTCGGTGATAACGAGCTTACACGCCCGAAGTGGTTGTTGATCTCTGATTTCATGATTTGTACATTCAACCAATGGTCCACATATGCCCACACATGCCCACACGCTTGTTGCACACTTGCAGGATTTTCTGCTGGTGTCATCAGGGTTCCTCTAAACCTCAAATGACCAACCCGCAATCGAGGAAACTGTGAATTGCGCCCGGTTGCTTTGCTTCTCCAGGGCCGAATTCGCAATTACTGTGAAGTCGGACTGTCTCGCCTCTTTGTCACAGGCGAGACGTTACTTCGTGTACACAGAAGGCGAGCTGTTGCAAGAGAGCTTACAAAGGTCTAAGAGATGCCATGCGAGTCAAATGTATTTGCCGACATGTTCTGTAGTAAAACGGGTGTTGCCTTATGGACCCGAGACCAGATAAATCCAATAGGGGCCAAAGAATATTGGCTGTGGCACGTGCCTGTTTGGGGCACTAGCTTTGGTGATAAGGACAAACCAAGAGGAAATATACATTTTGTTGTGCGTCATAATTATGAACTCAATCTCGCGTGGCTTTTTGTTCGGCCTGGTTGCTTTGGAGACTTGATGAATGAGTTACTTCGCGTTCCGGCTCTGGCAGCCTATCGCTTTGGATTCTTGAAGAGTTTGTCCTTGATATGTATAGCGGATTTGGAATTCAGCTTTTGTGAGGACTCGGGCTCAGCCAAGTTAATGTGGTAAGTTGTTGTTAACCCAGGTTGTAACCTCCAAGCCACTAAGTCAGGTGGCTAACCACCTGCTACCCTTGCCGGAACATCCAAGTAGCGACCCATGCCTGAACCCTCCATTGATCGTGTTTTGAGGTTTGAGCAGTTTGTTGGCTTGCTTTGAATTTCGGGTGGACCATTTGCAAACGAGCGGAAGCATTGATTTGATCTGTGATTTCATCCTTTGCTGACATTCCTAACAGGTTCCAAGGATCCCACTTGGCCCTATCAGCAGCCCGAGGACGAGGGTTGCAGATCGGAACCTGGAAAGAAGCCCTTTAATCTGTTTCTGGAAAGAGCACACATAGGTACCATAAGGCTCTTGCAAGCTTGAAGGGAGTTACCTGCGAAGTACATGCAAATTCTGCTGAGTTTACCCACCTCAAGTACCAGCTCTTTGGGTGTATCCTGAACCGCCAAGTTTTGAATTGCAAATACATCTCCTTCCGTCAGGGTTTGACATCATAAACTACAAGTGAGCACTTGAAGTGGGTACTGGGTAGCCTCTGAAAATCGCAGTCTCTCGTTGACATGTGGTGTGTGCTTGGAAGGGGCACCTTTTGTTGGTGTATGTTTTTGTTCAGATAGCCAGGACAACCGTCCCGCCGTGGTGACGAGCACCCAGCCTGAGGTACGATCGCCTCCAGCGAGAAGGCCTTTAGCATGTCAGGAGCCTCAGTTCACATGGCTCACCCGTGTGTGTGTGTGGGCGCATGGGGTCAACACCTAGTGCCTGTTGTACGCCCTGGCCCCTTGGGGTTTGGGAATATGTTTGAGTTGGTCAACACACACGTCACACACACACACACCTCTATACCTCTTGATATGGCTTGAGATAGGATGGAAATCAACCCTGGCAAGGATTGCAGAAACTATTGGGGTTCCTATAAAGGGAGCCTGAACCATGACTATGATCAAATGGTGTTGAACATGGCATAGTTTCTGGCTCCAGCCAAGCCAAGTCGAGGGAAGGATGGTTGCCAAAAAGGGTCCGTCTAACAGTGTGTGCGGGGTTGCCAAACAGTTGGAGCTTTCAATCATCCAGCAAAAAGGGGCCTATGTGATTGGCAAACGCATTGAGCACATGGGTGGTGCCAACACAATTTGGTTGACATACATTTTTTTCTCCAATGGAAGTGGGGTCTCAAAGCGTCCTGTCAGCTTCTATTTGACTCTTGGCTCAGGGCGAGATACCTCGCTCAGGATTAGTTCAGTTGCAAGGGAAGCTGGAAGGGCAGTCGATCATACACCTGTGTGTAGTTGACTTGTGTGTGTCTTTATGGGAGAACTCTTGTTTGGTCGGTTTCAAGGGGACACCAAAAGGAAAGCCACATTTGGGTTAAAGCCCACACAAAGGCCAGTTGGGGTCTCAGGCCTCAGCGAATTTCAGGGCTTGTTCAAGCGGGTTTTTTTCACTGGCCTCGTCCTTGATATGTTCTTGCAGTAGATGAATGTTGTTTCAGAAAAAAGTGCGGTCTCCTCAGCTTGTGTTTTTAAGCTTGACTAAGCATATGACATCGTATCATGTTGTGTTTGGTCCTTGAGTTGGATCAAATGCCGCTCCTGTCGCTCGGAAAAGAACCGAAACACGGGGGCGGATCAGCTTTAGCTGGACTCTTCGCAGCGGTTCCAGCCAATTCGAGCATTGCGGTTATTTTTATCTCAAGATCTGGAGGCATGATGCTGTGTTTTTTGTTGAGAGTGCCTTTTCAGCTTGGTTCAAAAGAAAAACCGCAAAAAGGACAGACGCATACCCATGAGTCATTGAACTGTGCACCTCAAAAGATAGGGCCATACTCATCCGGGGTGGTTCCCGTTTGAGTGGGATCAAATTATTCTACGGAGGTTCCTATGTACTTGAATGGTCCTCCGGATGATTCCGAAGATAACACCAATGCTAGCTTATCGAGAAATAGCATTTGGTGCAGTTCCGACAAAGACCACACTACGACGTTTCGCGCCAAGGTACTTCAATGTGGCGCGAGGGCCGACAGTGAAGAACATTTGTGAAGTTGGCCAGGATCTCATACGAGCGACATCTCAAATGTGCCTCCAGGAGCCTGCCAAAGGGGATCCTGCGTCCAAAACGAGACTCTGAAAGTGTTTTTGTTTGCCGGGTTCCATGGCAGTCTTCAGCATGCTTCAGTAGCTGATGTGGTTTGCTCCAGGCTCAGGCGGAAAAGCTTCCGGGATGTGAACTGTTTGGTGCAAGAGGGATGAATTCTGGCCTGCTTCCTTCTTCCAACAGCTCGCAGTTTCGCGGCACTGTTGACACTTGAATAATTTGGTCTCATCGAATTAGTCCCCGAAAAGGGTACCCATTTGATTAGTGGCCTCCATTTGCACTTTTTTCTTCGAGTTGTCCACTCAGAACGAAATCACCACACCCGCTTCCCTTTGGTGGGTAGAAGGAAGCCTCCGACCGCGATACCGTTGCCCTTGACAGCTTGACCCGAGGCTTCAACGCGGGGCACTCCACCGCCATCTACCTGAACGCGAATCCAGATGCCCGCACCTTACGCGCACCGGCGGCGTTGGGCGATTTTGCGGCTCGGCGCCCTTCTTGGGGCGGTTGCACAAGGATTCCAAAGCGGAAACCATCATTTTGGGATCCCCAAATTTATGGCACACATCCATGGTATGTTTAGCAACCCAGGTCTCTTTAAAGAAAACACAACAGGACATTGTGGTTCAAATACGCTTAAACAAGGGGTTTGCCCATGGTTTGCAATTGTTGGGGGTCAACCTTGCCCTTTGGGCAGTTAGATGGCAGGAAAGGAGCAGCTACGGAGCAGTTGGCCGGCTTGCATGTGATTATGCTACGCTGAAAAGGGTGACACATGGATGCAGGGGACCAATGGGTGCAAGACACAGGTGGGTTTGAATTTTCCAGCTCCGGATTCATCAGTGGTTGTTTGAATACTGGCCGGTTTCCTTCCTTCTTGCTCGCCTTTGCCTGAGGCCCAAGTCTACTCCTTCGACATTGGGCAGTTCCCCTACACGGTGGGCAACTCCGAGTTGATGAAGGCGCCATACGCTGGGCCCGACTGGGCGCTCGCAAGGCCGTGACCAGGCGCCAAAAGGCATTGGCCCCGAAAAGCCTTTACCCAGTTGCCCAGTTGCCCAGTTGATTTCGCATTTTTTCCTTTTTTGGGGGGAAGGGTTTCCCTTTAATCTCAACACGCCAAAACGGATGCCCTTTTTTCCCATGGCCCATTGGGCATTTGAGTCTATGAAAAATGCCGCTTGAATCAAACTCATGCAAAACCAGCCATTTGAGTATGTGTTGAAATTTGGGAACCCCCCAACTAGGTTTCATTTAAGTTTCCCATTTTGAACCAACCAGAAAGGGTACCCTCAAAAACACACCCATTTGGACGTGTTGGATCCCTGTGCTGACACATTCTAATCAGACTTATGCCCTTATGGGGCGGGAACCTGCTTGAGCTTTGGGGGTCAACATGGGTCACACCACCAATCACCAAGAGTCAAGGAGGGAAGCTGGGGGCAAGGTGCCAAACTGGGGATGATGTTTGTTTTTGGATTTGTGCATGCCTTCTAAGACCTCACCTTAGTCCTCCAATCCCAGAATAAAGGATAAGAAAACTCGCGCCAGTCACTCTTTCCGGACCGGTTCGAGTACATCTCGGGGCCTTCTGCGGAGACGGTGAAGGCATTTGCGGAGGAGAGGCGCGCCCGCGTGGAGTTTGAGTTTGGGCGTTGCTCAAAATGAGGGTGAAATGTTTTGACTACCCACGGCAGACTTTGACCCAGAGGGTTCCCTTTTCAGCAAATCAACCACCTCTGGGTTTAAGTCTACTTTGGTGGTGAGACAAGGAAAGCCCTGCTCACAATAGGGGGCCACTAAACACGGGTGGTTACCCGGGTGGTTCCTTTTGAAACCATGTAAGAGGGGTCCAGTTCGAGAATCCCACCCAATCAAGGCTTGTGTTGTTGAAACAACCCAAGCTCCCCTTCCTATCAATTCACTAGCCATGTCACGCCACATTGAAGGGATGCTCAAGGAACATGTGCTGAGATAGCAAGCATCCCCATGCAAGAAATCCTTAGCGCCAATGGACCCAATGAGCTCAGATCTCGTGTTGGGTTGGCATAAGATGGGCCAGCCAGATCCGCTCATGTCGCCCCCCACATCATACCCTCAGGGGGGCCCCCAAAGGCTGTTCAAAAAAACGAAGAATGTGCACGAATACCTAGGAAACCACAAGGCTTCGGAGACTAACAACCTTAGACGCAACCAGGAGCAAGGTCAGCCTCGAGCAGATGTCTGGCCATTCCCCTTGCGCAAGCTTTGGGCCAGCGGGTGACTGAATAAAACCCCAAGCAAAGCTGCGTTTGGTTTCTCTTTTCCAATTGCCGCTGCTCGCTGATCAAGTTTTCAAGCTGGCAACAGTCGACAGCCTGCGTTTCCGTTCTTGCAGTGCATAGCAGCCCTTCGCTTTGTTTTTGCATGCATGTTGTCTATTCCTTTGCGCAGCTTCAGTTAACAGCAATTCCCAGGCATTTGTGCACTAATGAGGCAAAGTCTGCAATAAACATGAGGTTGGGTCAACGTATATATCCACTAGTCTGGTCCATTTGGGGTGGGACATGGGGGATTCACCAAAGTTCGACCACACCATTCAGTTCACTCACTGCTTTTCCCGGAAAATATAAAAAGGATAGGGGGACTTACGATCTTGCTCTCACCACAATTCAGGCGCCTTCCAAACTTGCTCCAACTCAGGGGACTGCCGCCTGCAAAGTGTTCCGATCCGATCGCTAGGCCAGATGTGAAGTGCGACGTGATCAGCGCCGGGAGCTGAGCTTTTCGTGATCCAAAGCGGCCCAAGACCGTGGCCCCCATTCGTGGGTGAAGCGCCAAAGAGCCCCCCCAGTCACTCCACTCCCCAAGTCCATTCTCCAAAAAATGGTACTTGTCCAAATCAGGATAGTAAAGCCTGTATAGTTCTTCATAACTCAGAACCATCTTCGTACCAAAAGCTCATGGCTCTAAAGGTCTTCACGGCCCATCTTTGGTGAGCCCACACAGGGTTCCCTGTAGGTCCATCTGAAGTGCAGCCTAAGGCTTGCGCTTTAGCCCGTCTTCCTTGTTCTTTGCATGTTCCGATTCTTTTCAAATGAGACTCCAGATGAGAGCCCAATATTAATAAACTTGGACTGTAGCTTCTGAACAGGGGCCGCCTTCCACTACTTTTTGGGGGTAGCGCCTCCTTTTGATTGCTCCTCCAGGCTGATTCATGCGCGGTTGACATGAATTGTTTTTTCTCCCAGTGCTTCGCGTAGGGAACCTAGCAAACCACTGTTGCAAACAACGTGGATACCTACTATTCAGGCAAACCACCTGGGATGCGCTGGGTATTGTTTCATCTGGATTCACTGGGTCTGGCAAGCGCGCCCTGGTCTGGCCCAGCCCCGTCTCCCCGGTTGTTTGTTTTTAGTTTTGCCACGTGTCAACCGCTCGTCTCCCATGGGTATGTGTCAAAATGGGGGGGGGGGAAATTGGTGATCCTGTTGATTTCGGAGGGGGGGGGGAAATTGGTAATTTCCCTGGCCAGCCTGACAGTTTAAGGCCACCCTCAAGACCCACCAGAACCAAACGCGAGTCTTGGGTGGTTTCTTGTTACCTGAGCGCACCCTAGGTGGACGGGGACCACAGCACCGAGGGCACGCTGGCGGACTTGAGGAACTTCCAGAAGTTGGCCTCTTGTAGGACCCGGACTTGTGGCCAACATCAAACCCAGATCTGGGGTCTCCAAATTTTAGGGTAGACTAAACATGCTTGCCAGAGTCGAAACATATGTGGTTGTCTGTGTACCGCTTTTGTGTGGACTCAGAGATTTCCAGGCGAATCCTCGGGTTTTTCGATTTTACAGAGGTGAGCAAATTACGGCGTGACATGGCGTGACGTTTTGACGTCATGTCACCCAAAGTGAAGCTTCCTGTCTTGGAGGTCCCTCAATTTTGGATCGGGGAAGTATTAGAATCTGCACAGAAAGATCGAAGCATGGAACCCCTGCTTAGAGGCTACATTTCTGGGGTTTCCTCCAGAACCATTTTATAGTTATAGACCAAATATGGGACATAGTCGAAAAGAAAATACATGCCACTGTGGAAAATGGCGTTTTTAGTTGCCGCTTGATTTCCAGGGTCGGATACAAATGTGGTTCTCTCTCAAAATGATTCGTGCCCTTTTTGGATGGCAGAGGGAAACCAACCCGCAGCCGCAAAAACCTGGTTGTTGAAATAATTTTCCTTCGGACGCCCTCGAACCCACTCAATCTGATCTAAAGCCAACTGATGCGAATCCGATGACAAACCAACCAACTACACATGCAGCAGAGAAAACCGGGTGGGGTGGGGTTCCATGTGTAGAATTAGGTCCTTTACCTGTCAGTAGATTGCAGACCCCAGCTCGGTCCGGGGCCAACCAAACATGGGTTCGAAACCGCACGGGTTCCAATCGTTAATCAACCGGTTCGGTAGGAAGGTGCTGACAATCATAACTCGGCTACATTTTCAGGGTTACGGTTGCTCCCTTGGCCTTCCTAAACGATCAGGTAGATGAGGTTTCTCTCTTCGAGAAATCGGGACAGAACCCAAATTGCTAAATGCTGGCCTCATTGCTTGACAGAAACAATCAACACGCTGTCCCTGAAAATAGTTGCTCTTAAGAATGTGGCAATCTGTGGCACAGGTTCCCCGACCCCTCGAAATTTCCCCCCCAGTTTGAGACCCCCGCACATGTTTTTTTTGCTGCTCAGTGGGGTGTGTACACGAATGTCTGTGTCTGTGTGTGTGTCTGTCTGTCTGTCTGTCTGTCTGTCTGTCTGTCTGTCTGTCTGTCTGTCTGTCTGTCTGTCTGTCTGTCTGTCTGTCTGTCTGTCTGTCTGTCTGTCTGTCTGTCTGTCTGTCTGTCTGTCTGTCTGTCTGTCTGTTTCCAGAGCCTGCCGCCCATCTTCAAATTGGTAGCTCACCACTTGTTTGGCCATTCTCTGAGCAAGATGTGCTGCCAAGATGGACCAATGGTTTTGAGCCCACCCCGAAACCCCCAAACCCCAAAGCCAACATAGCTACCACTTTGAAGCCATGGTTCCATTTGCAAGCTTCCTTCCGGATGGAACCGCCAAAAACATCTTACATCTTTAACCGGGCGTAAAACTCCATCTCCCTAGCCCAAAAACTCTCCCCCACCCTACCCCAACAACCACGAGCCCCCAAACACCAACCAACTATCGCCAGGAACTGGGTGCTGATGGATGACGCCGGCTGGAATTCCACGAACTCGGCCTGGCAAATGGCCAAGGATGCCGGGATCCTGACCCAGGCCCATTGCCAATGGGTAGGAGCTCGGGAAATTCGGGTCGGCCACGGAAGGTATGGGTAACCCACCTAGTGAACCCTGTTAGTGGGCTATAACCCGGGAGGCTACCGTACTAACTTGGTCAAACATCCAAGTATAGCTTCACCGTTTTAGGCAGGATGCGATGCAGCTTGTTCGTTGTTTTCGTTCTGGACAGGTTAGTTTTCTGAGTTTTCTGAGTTTTGTAGTGTTTGGTCCTGTTTGATGAATAAGCCCAAGTGTTAGGTTAGCCCCAATAGCACCCCCGCAACCGTTGCGGAACTCTTGTCCGCACCCGCTCCGAACCACCCCAACGGAGGGCTGTCAGCAGTTCGGGAAATAAAAACTGGCAAAGAACAAAGTTACTCGCATACCAAGGGTTTCAGCCGGAGATTCACACGAGGTTTGTTGCTCCCTCCAGTAAAGGTCCCAACCCCTGATCCAATCGAATCCAAAACTCATAGCTACCATCATCTACTGTATATAGGACAACTGCCCAGAAAATAGAGGAGTTTACCTAAGTCCGATGTCAGCCGTCACCTGCTGAGCATTGACGGCTTGGATGTGGTCAGGTGGAGTGCTTCGCGGACATGAACCCCAGGCGGTTGGCGCGAGGGGTGTGTGGGCGCCCTTAAATCTCCCTTGTGTGGTGGGAGCATCATGGAGCATCCTGGACGTTCAAGCTACTCTTGAGCATCAACACTTACCCATTTTAGCCCATAAATCATTAGGGCAGTATCCGAGGCGTCCTTTGGGGTGATGCTCAGAAGCGTCGTAAGAGCCAGGCCCTTTTGCTGATTCCTCGCATTTTATGCGCGATTCCAACAACCACAGGCTCCCTCGAATTGTAGACTTCCTGTCAGAGGCTAAGAGGTTAAAGGCCCCTCCCCATCGAGGAACGGTTCGGAAGGAAGCTTAGTGCTTCTGATTGAGTTTGTGTTGACCTTTTTTTTGACCGCTAGGGGTGATAAGTATGCTCTCTCCATAAAACTTGTCACAAAAGGATGTATTTTGCATTTTCAACACATACCCCAAGAAAAACATCTTATCTTGGGAGGTACGCTGCAAAAAGGGTCTGCCTGTAGGCCTGACTACCAGTTCATGGAGTACCCGGAGAACCGATCCTGGTGCCGTGCCCTGAGAATTGTTCACTGCGTCATCGCAGTTTCAGCGACGACCCTGTTGGCAGAAAGAGGTTTCCGCCGTTCCGATTCTGAAAACCCATGGTTTCGGGTCCCCCTTTTACCAGGTATTGACACTGACTCACATCTTTTTGGTGGTTTCTGGTGGCCGCCGAGACCAACCCAAGTTTCCCATGTTTTTGTGGGGGAATCATGTTGCTCGATAGCTTATTTTTGCCTGCACGGGAAGCTTTCGTTTGGCTTAGGCTTGGGGTTCTTCAACGTGCAGGACGACACGTGCCCCGCCTGGTTTCAGGAGAGCCCCAACACCGCCTGGCGCCCAGACCAGGGAAATTTCTCGATTTGTGGATTTCTAAAACGGACTTGTAAATCTGTCGGTTCTCGTCTGTACGTACAGTTCTTCCTCTTAGTTTTTCCTCATATTGAAGGGATCAAAGCGCCGGCAGATACTCAGTTTCCTCTCATCTGACATCCAACAGCGCCCCCGACTGGCCTACTTCCCATTTGGCTCGACCATGGGAAGGGCAAACAAATGAACTCCTGTGGCACACTCAGCAAACCTTGAGCCCGTGGAGCCGTCCCGGAAAACGGGACCCGGGTTGTGTTGGATATACTGAGACCGGATGGCCGCTTTGTCTCAAAAAGGCGCGGTGGTTTTAGAATCTGCAGATCCCAGTTGCCCATATAAATTGTAGGTAACCAGCAATTGTCCTCTTGGTTGTTACAGGGTGGTTTCATTGGTTGCCTGCCATACAAGGAAATGGAATCACTCGACTCGGAGACCCACTCTTTGAATGTTGGACCACTCAGTGGCCCAAAAGCGGGCAACTCGACCCTTTGGGCCCCTGTAAGGGTCTGTGTCACGGCCCCGAATGCTGGGTCAGTCATCAAAAGCTGAGGTAATTGAAAGGATAGTTGTTGAGTCTTCACATGGATATGAGGTAGACTCCTTTAAAACCCACGTTTGATGCTGAGGAAGCCAACATGGTTTCCTTGTTTTTTGTTATTTTTCCCCTTTTTTCTTCTTCGTTTTTTTTCCCGAGGGTCCCCCTTTTTGGTGGTTTTAAAAGGCATCACAAAGGAAAGCCGCCATTTTGGTAGGTCCTAGAAAAAGGAAACACCTGCTGAACACGCGGAGGAGCGGACCTTTGTGCGGCCGATTGAGATCTGAGCAGCGGCAAACTCCGGCAAAGTCCCCCACGGCATTGAACGGACAATGAACGGCCGCGTTGCTTTGTCGGTTTTGAGTCGGTCAGAAGGTTATGGGTAGCCTTTGGGTAGTCTGCACATCGAAGAGCAATTTCCATGTTGGACCCCCGACACGTTAGAAGCGTGGAATCGTTTCAGGGAAAACAGTTCACTTTCCTAGGAGATTCGGGGCTTTGCGACCGATTTGTCGATTTCGCAGATTTCACCGATTTCGCCCATGATGGGGCCTTTTCGTGGGGTGATTGATTACTTATTTCAGAACTTTGGTTTCTTATTTCAGGACGAATTACAAGTTGCCTTTTTGAAGACAAACCCATGCAGATTTTGCTACGCGCTTTCCCTTCGACCCACGCTGAGTTTGCCCAAACGATCCTGTTTAATTCGACAATTAGTCATTGGTGTTGTTTGGGCAAACTGTATCGACCTGTTTGTGTCTCAGCGACTAAACCTTGATGCCGAACATGCTTTGAACCCTCAAACCCTTGAAACAAATCGATGCCCCAGACCTGTATACAGGGTGATGTAACGTTGCATACGTTGCCGGTAGTGCGGTCCAGGTATCTTCGGGTGTCTGTGTTCCTGTGGTTGTATCGGGAGACATGGAAAGCACACGTTCCCCCCTGCAACAGGCTGCTCGGAGCAGCATAGCAAGGCAAATCACAGCGAGCCTCGAAGTAGGGACACCCTCAAAATGGTTAGTTTAGTTTCCTTCCACGCTCCCAACGCTTCCTCGCACCCACGCAGCACACACACACACACCCACCAGCCCACACGCACTTAGACTCCCGAGGGAGGAATACTGACTTCGAGTAAACGTGTCGAGTGGCGAGCATGCCGATGCAACCTTGATTGTAGTCGAGTCAAAATGGCAACCTCTACAAACTTCAAAAGGGAACAGAGAAGCAACAGCAGTTCAAGGGCGGGGCCGCAAGGACCTTGTGCACACTGCAAGGTTCGCACGGTGCGGCTCAGTCTGTTTCCTCGGTCATCTGCAGCCACCTGCGGGCTCGGCACACACACACACACGCTCCCGCAGCAGCAGCGAAGCAAGTGGAAAGAAACAAAGCAACAGGAAGCAAGAATGGCCCCAAGTTGGGCAAAACCCCAGCCAAGAAACAAGAAAAACTTGGAACCCAGGTTTAGGGTCTCTGTGGGCAACAACCTTGCTACCCTCGTAGACGAAGAAGACCGCGAAGGCGACCAGCCAAAAGACGAAGAAGCCTTCCCGCAGAGGGTCCAAGGGAAGGAGCAGGAACGAGCAGAGGAAGAAGTCCAGGAAGAAGACAAAGACGAGAAGGAAGCAGACCACAAAGAGGAAGTAGCCATCCCGAAAAGGGGCACAAGCCAACGGAGGAGGAAGATGAGGTGAAGCCGAATTGAGTGAGAGGTGAACAATGGGCGCCAGGGAAGAAGAGGGCAAAGGCACAATAACAGGCACACATGCACGCGCGCACGCACGCTCGCGCAAGCCCACCCACATGCACGCACGCTTGCGCGCACGCACGAACCCATGCACCCACGCACCCACACACACGCACACACGTGTTGCCCAGATGCTCTGCCGGTTCCGCGACAAGTCAGCGGTGGGGGCATAGTAAAAGGCGAGTCAAGCCTAGACCTGCCTTCAGACAGCCGTTTTGTGGGATTTTCAGGTCCTTTTCCAATTAAAAATGGGCCATTTAGCAAGCACAGTGGCGTCATCGAACTGTTCAAAGATTTGCAAAATTACTGCGTCACCAGCAGCCACATGCTCCTGAGATAGTCCGAACTTACAAAACCCGGGGGGCCACGTAGGAAACACAGGGGCGTCGACAAACTGTTCAAAAGGCTCTCACTTCTCAGGGCTCATCCGGAGCAGCTGGCCGAGTTGGGTGGAGTTGTGGCCTTGGTTGGTCCGAATGAGTCGTTGAAACCGCGCCCCGAACAATGATCTTATACCAGAACCCTCAAAAACTCGGCGCAAGCTTCCGGATGGCCCTGAGAAGC